AACTCAACCATATTATAGCGAAATAAGCGATCCAGCGCCCGTGCCACCACCAGTGTGACCTTTCAGTGAGCATGACAACTCCAAGCTGTTACAAGGACCGACATTCTGCTAGTCTAACCAATTGTAATAGGTTACAGAGCACTCAAATTTACAAATTTATCAAGTTATAGTTATACAATAGTTATAAATATAAATAATGAAGATTTTTTGTATTAGTGTCAAATACAAAATATATACATATAGAGGTGTACCATAAGTAGATTTTAGGCCTTGTGTTATGGAACTCTCTATGACAATTGAGTTGTACTTTATTAAAATATTTTTACCATAAATAAAAGAGGCGAATGAATGTGATTTTGATTATTTTGTAAACAATATTATTTTCCCCAAAGTACCTCTATGGTTTAGAGAAAATTTTGATGGTTTTAAAATATGTGAAAAAGTACCTTCTATATATATATAACTAGAGTACAAAATCAATAATTATTATTTAGGTCAAAATGTATATATGCATGTATGTATGCATGTAACGTTATTTGCTTAGTTTGCAAAACTACATTTTCTCCGAAACTCCGAAGCCGCTATGACCAACATAAAATAGTTTTAGGTATTTTATTAATTTTTCTAACGTTGTGCTAGTTTGATAAAATTTAATAAAATGTAATAGAATTCATTGAAATGCACTAAAGCATTTAAAAAGTACGATGAAGTGCATCTGTATTCTATGGACTGGTCGACAAATGAGCATACGGTTTACCTGATATGCTGGCCATGAACAACAGAGGAGTTACGAATGCGTTGCCGACTATTTGGAGTTTAGGGATTTTAAAATTACGGGATTGAAGAGTGAAGTTACCGGAGGCCTAATCCTTCGCCCCCATCCTCGTATCCATGTAAGTCATCCACTCAAATCCAAGTGACAAAAGGCCAGCAACGCAGTAGTAGTAAGTTCTGGGTTTTTTAGACGCGTTATTTATGACATGGGCGGCGTTGATTGCTTACCATCAGGTAATCCACAGACATAAAATAACTCGTGTTATTCAGTCTGTACAGCGGCGCAACATTGATACATAATCGAACTTCTACAGCTATGTAAATTTCATAGAATAAAGTGATTGTGACCTCAAAACTGTAAATTGAATATTTTAGGAAAAATGGATTGGAGTGTATTCTAAAATACTGATGCCTATTACACTAGTTATTACGTTTTTTGTATATACGTATGTATGTTTCGCGTTAAAACAGTTTTGCCAATATAGAGATTTCCGTCAAGCATGCTAGATATGATGACACTTACAACAAGGAGGGAATATGTTTAATGAAATGTGTTAGAGGGTGTTAGAGACACGAAATTATTAAATACAAAACCAACGAGTTTTATTTAGTCGTAAAATGTATCGAATGGCAACTTATTTATATCTGACTGCGTTATCCAATATCCATTTCGATTAGTTTTAAGCATTGGCAAAATGTCATCACGTGAATACACATTCACGAAATAGTTCATGCGGTGTTTGTTTACGCATATTAAAATAATATATATTTTATTAACGCGCATAAATAAACAGTGAATGAAACGTTTAAGTTTTAATTAAAATGAATCATAATACACTATTTATACTTTAAACGGAGGAGAACCTTCTTAATAATCCTTCGATATTAATGGGTCGACTTGATTGGGAACAACTCTTTGTGTGACTTTGGGGAGTGGCTTGTCTCTTAAGCCACTCCGCACGCCACGACGTCCTCACCTTCCGCCTGACGCAGGTGCTTACCGGGCACTAGGTTCCGGATTCGGATCCCGAGGAGACGCCCGAGTGTCGTCATTGTGAAGACCACCTAGAAGATACGGTGGTTAATACTGTGGCGGTATGGAAGTGATCGGCCGCGGTGACCTTTCGCGCCCGGCTTAAGTCTAGGCCGTGGTGAGGAGCGTGAGCGTGAGGAACTGGGATGCCGTCTCCTCCTCCTGTGAAGCAGTTATGCTCGCAAAGAGGGAGGCAGACCGCGTGAGGGAGCAATCCTTCTCCTCACGCTCCAGCTGCCGCAGCAGGAAACACTCCGGGCGTCGGGGATCAAGAGACGATCTCCGGTCACCGTAACCGCGGGTCTGCGGACGGCGAGTAAGGGTAGCTCGCCGCTTGACCAGAACCAGACCCGAGCGTACGGTGCGTAGCTTTCCGCGCGCGCCTCAATGAGCCAATAGACCACCACAGACGGGGCCCTATAAGGCTGATGTTGCAGCCGGGGTTGCAGTGTAAGCGCAATAAGGTAGGATGTTCTACGCCTCTTGCTCTAGGCCGTGATCTAGGGGACGGGCCTAAGGAACGGGGGGTTTTTAATCAATAAGAGTCTGATACTCCCTGTCACCTCAACATGCCCGGGAGAAGTAATTTGATGATTATCCCTTCACTAAAAATAACTCTTCGTGTGATCCACGACTTGTTACTTAACTTCGGGTGTGATCTCATATATGTGAAATGGTAAGTGTAGGAGAGAGCCATGCTTCGGCACGAATGTGTCGGCTCGATCGGAGTGATACTACTACGTGATCACAGAAAATCGGCGTGAAACAATCACAGCGTTGTATTTCGCCGTGTGAGTGAGGTTACCGGAGGCCCAAGATTTAAACTCCCCACATCTCTCAATTACCTAAATCTCCTATCCCCATCGCTGGCAATGCACTTGGATAATGGATATCCTCTGGTGTTGCAGGTGCGCACGATGCCGGCTACTTACCATGACGTCATTATAAGCTTGTTTATTGATATATTATTGATATATTAATATATATTACACAAATCTTTATTAATTTTATATTAATATTTGAAGCGATATTTCGTTACACGGAACGAGAAATTATTTAGATTGCTGTTAATCTAAATAATTTCTAGGATCAATGATAATTTCTGGAAAATACATACAATTTTTTTTTTATATAATATACGTGTGTTAATAAACACGTACAATGTTATTTATTATGACTGAGGGTATTATGTATCGAAGCCATGATTCGGCACGAAAAGGCCAGCTCGAACACCAGATCGATTCTGTAAGAGCTCGATCATGTCTTCGAATCAGAGAGTGAGTACTCACAGAATACCGGCGTGAAACCACGCTCTCGTTGTTTTTCGCCGTATGATTGAGATTACCGAAGGTTGAATCCTTCAGTCTCGAAATCCTAACACCTTGTGTATATCTATTTCAATGGCGCAAGAAAAAAATAACAACATTGATTGAGTTACCACATGAATTTAATCATTAATTAGATACATTTTATATATTTATAGTAATTTTTTGGCAATTATCATCTTTATTTACTTTAATTACTTGTAAGAATAACTTTCAGATGCACATTTATATTTATATTCTGGATACAATAATTAAATATAATCTATAGAATTATAAATTATTGATATTCGACTTTGAGTTCAAAGAGCACATATAATTTTGTAACAAATCTAATCTAATTAACATTAAATCTAATACAATGATAAATGATCAAATGTCTAAATAATACTCCAGAGTGGGGTCGAGAAGGAACTTGTAAGTTAATCAATAAAACATAACCATAGTTAATAAATACTTTGATATGTAAAGCAGCCCGGCCCGAAGCAAAGTAACGAAGGGTTTCTAGTCAGTAAGAGTCAGAAATTCTCTCTTGCCCCACTCAGAGTGGGGGAATGCATTTAATGCCTTCACCCACTCCTCAAAAAAAACAAAAGTGCTTTTATATAGTAATAATATAGATATTGTCAATGTACATATTCATTATTATCATACTACATATATATAGTATCACATAGGATATTTGGTACAGGCGATATCTGAAGGACCGGATTGATTCCATAGTCCCATAGACCACTGGCATGAGACAAAGCTTGTGATGTGTTTCGCCGTGTGAGCAATTACAGACAAATTACCGAGTTCTTGGATAAGGGCGTTGGTACATATAGCATTTGATAACTACTACTAATACACAAACATAGAGACATATAACATTCAAACATTTCAAACAATTAACATTTAGAAAACCCCCGACAAAATATCTAATATTCCTTTAAAAAGTAATAATTAAAAGAAAACGTGGCGTTGGGGACCGATCCATACATTTTATTATCAACTACATATTTCAATTTTGTCGGGGGTCTATTTTATTTTTTTATTTTATACTTATTATATCATTTCCTCTAGATTAAGTCATCAACATTCCCTTTCAGTGGGTTTTAATTTGAGATTCCACTCGTATATATTTGCAGACCTTCGGTTACTCTTCCCGACTTACCCCCCCCCCCCCCATAACTTCTAAACGGCTCAACCAATTTTCGTCAAACATGTCTAAGAACACTCGCACGTAAGTCACCTTTAATATAAAAAAAAAAAACTAAATTGAATTCGCTTTAACCGTTCAGGCTCTAGGATGCCACAGACAGACACGTTAAACTTATAACACCCCTTCTTTTTGCGTTGGGGGTTAAAAAGAAACCTACTTTTGCCACACCGAGTTATTCTCAAAATAGGTACCGTGGTTTAAAGGTACGTTCTCGAGATATCCCATTCAAATACGTGATCTTGTTTACATTGTCTCGAAATTTCGTAGACACAGACATATACATTTAGGGAAGTGACTTTGACTGAGCAACCTGGTACTCGGAAATGTGCCTTTACAGTCCTCAATTTTACATATATTCAAGTGAGTAACTAAGACAGACTCTATATTAATATTCTAGGTTGAATTTTAGTGTTATTAGTTTAGGACTGGCGTTTGGCCACCATCTTTATGGTAGTAGTCGATGATGCATAAGATGGCACAGCTACTAGTATACATAAGCAACCTGTTGACTTGGGTTTTTACACCAGGTTAAACGCTTCAGGGAAAATATAAATAATGAGCCTATTCGTAACAAAAAACAAATGAAGTTCTTTCATATAATATTAATGTAGATATAATTATTCGCTGGAGGAGTTAATCTGTTCAGTAAGTTGTCGTTATTTTTCCTTTATTCGTCGTAGTATCTCTGTGATCTATTTTCCTGGTGTGGATGAATGTATGGGTGGTCACGTTTCTTTTTTTTGGGATCTTGCATTCTTTGTACTGATGCGTCAATACTTTGTGCACCCTCCGAACTTAACCCCGAATATGGTCTTTCAATTTGAATTGAATCTATGTTATCTTCTCTGCTATAGTATCCATCTTGATCGTGAAAGGAACCACTACCTCCGAGTGCTATAGAACTGGAAGTGGTAGATGTTGGTGTAGTAACGTTTGGTGACGTTGTCGTTTGAGCAAATCTGTCAATAAAATATGTGATTATGACTTGTTAAAAAAAAGAAAACCAGATGGTGCTGTTAGGAAATTTATTTTTTCCTAAGTGCAACGATACAGCTTGATCAAGTCACAGCTTCTTTAATTTGCCTTCACTTGGTATTGTTATTACATCGTTTATCAGGGTCTAATCTGAGAATGAAGTATAAAAATGGATAAGAGATTTTATCTTGTTCGGGCTTGTTATCCTGCAAAAACTAACAAGTAGGTAAAGTAAAATAACACATACAATTATTATGTTCTTTAAAAGGATTGAATAAAAACAATATTATAAAAATAGCCATAGCAATTACATCGAAGTCGACAAAATGATGAAATAATTTATTTTAATATTCAACACATTATTAAAGTCGAGATTATTTTGAAGGTAAACAAACAAATAAACTGTATAATAATTTTCACATAGTGAAATCGGATTGATTTTCAGTCAGAAAGGTATATTGGGAAGGCAAGGACAATTGGGGAGGTCTATGTCCAGCACTGGACGACATCAGGCTGATGATGATGAAGAAAGGTACATTACGAACTACTGTATTCAACTATCATACTATACATATATTAATAAAATAAGCACAATAACAACCATCCAAAAATCTCTCAACCATTTACTGTGACATCATCCTCCATTGAAAAGGGAGGATCCTCTGACCAGATGGGTGTTATGACTGGTTGGCTACTGTCGGAATTTTGTATCAGTTCTAATTGCGTTGAGAACTCTTATACCGCGATGTAGAATGCTACACGTGGTTGATATTGTTTCTGCTCGTTGTACACTTAGATGTAGATGTCGCCACACTTTAATACTTACATTTCATGCAGCGGGTGCGACGGTAGCGTTTCATTGGATTGAAAATCTGGCAAATTTTGTATTAACTGATGATACATCGTGGAAATGAAGGTTTCTCTGTCTTGGTGGTCAGAGTCCAAGCTCTCGTCACTATTGTCGTTAGCGACTAAGTTTGATACGGATGCAGTTGAATCGACTCGATACCAATCTGCGAAAAAGTCATCTATTAAATATCTTTGAATCGTTATTAACTATTGCTAACCACTTCACCCGTGACACAAAGGTTACATGGAGTGATAGTCTATAAGGCCTTATAGGTAGGTATAAGGAATGCCTTCTTATGTTTCGTTTTTGAAATAGTCTTCGGCTATCGAAGAGTCTGTGAGTACGAATAGACCGCAGAAGTGATTTGATGATTTTCTTTCCACAACAAAGAGGCGTTCGATTACACTTCTAAAAGATACTCGTAGAAGAATTAATATTCAACACAATATCGCAATACTTTTTCCTCTGATTTAAAAAAAAAACACTTTTTGTACCAAACCTACCTTGAATGTTCTTGTTAAATGATGACAATTTAGTACTACCTGCAGTCGATGTAGCCTTTACCAAAACAGAGTGGCGTCTTTCCGCACCTCTATTCCTGTACAAATAAGTTTAAATTATTTCTAATATAGGTACTTTTATTTTCCAATTATTAATTAATAATGTATTATATTATTATTCCTAAAATTAAAATCACTTCTTAAATTTATGAGAAAAATGCTATGTATATCATACTTAAGGCCAAGTTAAAGAATAAGTCAGCCTGATTGGGGATCGAAGTCAAGCACGTTTGCGGACGAGGACGCAGCAACATTATTCTCAATTATATTATTCTAGAATAATATTTTTTGGAATAATTCAATAAAAAATATATCGAATAAGACTTTGAAGAACATGATTAATTTTGATATTTTGGGACTAGGTGAAATTTCTGAAGTCATGCGTTTTAAAGGTTTTAGAAGAGAGGGCAGCATTACAACGCATGGCGATTAAACATAGTTCGACGCAATTTGGACAGAACACGAGCCCAAGGCGCATCACATTCCATAGCTGTTATTTAATGTCAAATATACGATATATAACTACTTAAAGAGTAGCAGGCATTTTATATCTGGAGTACAAAACCAGTGAATAAGATACACTTAAAACTTTTTATCCCTGTCCTTTCAACATATTCTTTCAGCGAGCTTGGATGCAATATGGACGAGAATATGCACAGTACGGACGAGAATATGCACAGTACGGACGAGAATATGGTTATTTTATATTAATGCTATACGCAGGTAGTGTTGCTATCTTTCTAGACGAAATACCTGAGACTGTTTGATGGGTCAGTTGAGTACTGAGATGCCGTCGCTCCTGTGGACAAACGGTCAAATGAAAAGTCACCGATATAAATCTTAAAATCTGCAAGTTGAAATGGCAATAGGTAGACCTCGCTAGAAGGAGCTGATGGGTTAGAAAAAAAAAGTTTTACGGGCGACCCGACCACAAATCGGAAGACGTAGCCTAATAGATCATCATCATCATCATCAGCCTAAAAGTGCCAACTGCAGAGCAAAGGCCTCTTCTCACGCGGAAGAACGTTTGAGCATTAATCACCACGCTTGCTCAATGCAGGTTGGCGATTTCAAACATATATTTAGAAATTATGAGTCCAGGCTTCCTCACGATGTTTACCTTCACCGTATGCCAGTGGTGTCCTAATAGATATCTCGCTAAAATGGTTGATGAATGGACTTGTCGTTCGAAGTGGAGAACAAATGGGGAGATCTTTGCCCACCAGCAGACGTCTTTCGGGAGATGATGATGACAAATCATATTCAAAGAAAATTTTAGACTTTGTATATTTAGCATATATCTTGTATACTTTCAATGAATAGGATGTATATGTATGTTTTATCCATAAATCATACATTTTAAATATTAATTGCAACATCAAATATTTGGTACCTTGTTTTCTCTCAGTGACAGATAACAGCAATCCATCAACCCTTGTGGTGGATGTAGCGTTTGTAGCTATAGAGCGGCGTCTTTTAACTCCTGACTTCCTGTACAGATAAAGCTGCTAATTTGTACTATGTTTTAATTTTAATCTTTAAAAAGCTGAAATAATATACAATAAGTATTTTGTACGATATTTAAAAAGAAATACTGTTTAGAAATAAAACGAAAACAGGATTAGGGTGTTTAAGGAAAAAAGATAAATTAAATTAAGAAACTGTTCCATAATTATGGCCTATATTCTGAGAACATCATAAATCGAACATCGAAAATACAAATCGTGATAGCTCGAGGTTTATTGCTATTTTAGGTGTCAAGTAATTGTCGAAGCTAAGTGTCTTCATTATTATTACCACACACGTGTTTTTTTTCGTCTTAATGCAAGCGGTATTCGACTTCAAACTACAACATTATGTAGATGTATGAAGATCTGTTTGTAATTTGCTATTCATGATCATTTCCATCATAGAAAAGAAAGCCTAACAATAACTGTTTCTGAAAAACTAAGATTATTTTCTAAGAATTTACTATGCCAATGTTATGCAGTGTGTATCACATAAATATAGGGACTATAAATTATACTTCAACGGAATTCGGCTCTAGGGTCTCGGGACGCACACAGACACGGCATGCACTGTATAGTATAAAACAAAGTCGCTTTCTTTGTCCCTATGACATGAATGTTTTAATCTATTAAAACTTGACAATGGATATTGATGCGGTTTTAAGTAGATAGAGTGATGGAAGAGGAAGGTTTATATATGTAATAACATCCATTAAATGGTGGAGAAATTTTAAACCGATTCGACTTTTTAAATAAAAGAATGAAAATTAAAAATTCCGTTTTAAAAACCATTTAAAATTTCCATACCCTGCAAATAAAAAGTAGGTTTTAAAATAATTTTGCACGTAACATTTTTAATACGTCATATTATTTAAAATCTTAACATACTTAAATAAAAACTTAATTATTTAAAAAAAAAACTCTTAAAATAGATCTCAGTCTTTGATGCAATTCGAGTTTTTATGGGATTAGGCAATATTTCAGTAAAAATACTTAGTAATCCATAATAATATAATATTTTTACATTCAACTAAAACAGCCATCACTCTCGGCACTGGGAGAAGACAACAGTGCTAGTTCATTATTTCATTGGTGATTCGTAAGAAAACTAAGTCATTGCATTGCAATACTGTTAATCATTTCATGGAAAATACGATAATATTAATACTATAACATATTCAAGCCAACTAAATAATGTATCAAAGAATCTTTATGTGACACTGATTTTAAAAGAGTAACCATGGAGTTTCTTGCTCGTTTTTCTCCATCGGAATCTACACTTTGGAACGAGCGAATAGCTTCACTAAGAGGACTGACCGACAGACTGACACTTTATATCTTTAAAATTTTGTTTGACGTTCAAAAGTGCCTTGTGATTTTCACAAGACTTGATGATATACATATTTATGTCACTGGAGAGCTACAATGGCGCCAACCCTGGAGGCATTCGATGATGGTGGAATTTGGTATATTTATTCAAACACTAAAATTATAGTTCAGTGATTAGATGACATAAAATCAAATAATTTTGAAAAAAAAAGAAATAGGGAGAGCCATGCTTCGGCACGAATAGGCCTGCTTGACCGGAGTGATACCACGGCCTCGCAGAATACTGGTGTTAAGCAACACTAACTTTTTCGTCGTGTGAGTGAGGTTACCGGAGACTTAATCCTTATACTCCATCCTCAATCCTCAACTTCCCTATCCTAATATACTTAAATTCTACTTGTAACACACTTGTAGCATTGATATAGCGATTGCCCATGGGCGGCGCCGATTACGTACCGTCAGGCAATTAAAAAAAGGGATACGCCCTTTTACTGACCTATACAAAAAAGTCGTAGATTAAAAATTGTTACATATATTATGTTCTGTTAGCCAAAATATCCTTCGAAATTGATACTTAGTCAAAAACTACCATCCATATTTACATATTTTGTAGCCTCGTCGTCAAATCTCCTAGGTTCAAACTTCTTTTTTTTATTTGTCTTCTTTATACTTATATCAATTATTTAACTATAGGTGATTTAATTTTATATAAATAACTAGCTACACTCGCCCGGTTTCACTCGCTACCCTAGCCTAGCATTAGCACTCAGGAACATTGTGGCTATCCAGTAAACGAATTTTGACTATCCGACCAGAGGTTCCAAAGATTACCCCCTACATACAAACTTACAAATTTTAACTGCTTATAATATTAATATAGATATCAGATAAAGTTGACGCTGCCTTACAAGTCGTAATACCTGAGATTAGTTGAAGTTACAGGTGGATGCTGTGATGCGGTCGCACCTGTGGACAAACCATCAAAAGCGTTTGTGTGATTTATGTGGGATTTGTAATATGGCTCTAAGTAGGAAAAGGAATGGGTTGGATTTTAGTCAGTAAGGAGTCTGACACTACACTCTGACACTTCTTTTTACCCGACCCACGGCAGTCATAAGATGACTAGTCGTCTATCTAACCATCCATCATCATAATATGGACGGTTTTATTATATGTGTTTGGTTCCATTCATGTGTGGTCCCGCCACAGGTACCAGATCTTTGGAAAGCGTACAAGGGACCGAAGTCAACCCGCGGAGATCTTTGGTCAACTTTGATTTTAGTGAAATGGGACATCATCCAGCAATGATCTCTTTATGCACAATGAAAATGCACCCTAGGATAGTCCCCGGTTGAAGCAGGACTTTTGTAAAATATCTTAGAAAATTTATTATCCAGTTATGAGTGTGGATCACTATTTGCTGGCAAATATGATATCTACGAAAATACTTTGGCCCCTGCCCCTGACCAATATTGATACATTCGGATAATTATTATAATCCTGCCTGTCTATCTGAATGATATAGATAAAAATCATAGTTTTGTACCTTGTATTCTCTCGTTGACAGATGAAAACAATCTTTCAACATTTGTGGTGGATGTACCGTCTGAAGCTATAGAGCGATGTCGCTTCACTACTGTCTTCCTGTACAGATAAAGTTGATATTACGTTATTTTCCATCCGCAACCCTTAATTTCCAAACGCAAAGGCAATATGCTGCTTAATATAATTAAAATAATCATTTTTGCTTGCTTAATATAAACATTTTTATAGTTGTACAAAAAATGTGTGTGTTTAGTAGAAAAAATGTTTTTATAGTTTTATTTTTAAGTAAGACATTTCTATCTCCATGTTAAGTTATCTAAGTTTGGTAATATTTATTTATTATTTGCTGATTATCAGAATTTACACCTGATGACTCTTTGTCTCTGTTAAACCCATCTTAAGGTTGTATTGTGCAAAGTATAAACAACAAAACGGTTAGGAAAATTATATAAAAGCGAGTGAAATAAAGTTGGCGCTGGCTCTCTAGCCGAAATACCTGAGAGTACTTGATGTGTCACGTGGCAGCTGCGATGCGGTTGCACCTGTAGACAAACCATCAGATCAATGCCCAAATACCCTGTCCTTGAATCCGTCGTAACACAAAAAAGGCCAGTTACTCAATCATTGCAACTCCTTTTGGTATCACAAGTGTCCATGGGCAACGTTGATTGCTTATCACTTACCATCAGGTAATCCGTCAGCTCATTTGTCGGACTATCCAATAGAAAAAGTTTACTTTATCATTGACTAACTACTCTCGCACGGTTACACCTGCTGCTCGGCTCCATTTAATCGTAGCGTTATGTTTTATAGCCTATAGCACTCAGGAATACTGTAGCTATCTATTAGTGAAAGGATTTTGAAAATCCAACTAGTGGTTCCAAAGATTACCCCCTACATACAAACTTACAAACATACAAACTTACAAATTTTACCTCTTTATAATATTAGTAGGTAAGTAGGTATAGATAGATGATCCCAATGCTTATATTGAATATGCTAAATTATTGAAGTTCTCTTAATTATTGACGATCCCTGTAGCTGATTGATATGCAAGGCATGGTCCAAATAATACTTGTATTTATTACTAAGTACATTATATTATTTTGCGTACCCTGTCCACTGTCGTCGTGAAATGGCAATTTATCGATGTCTGTGGTAGATGTAGCAATAGGCTGATGTCGATGATGTCGATCCGCTTCTATGTTCCTGTACCTTAAGATAAAATTGGAATTATTTAGAAACATGTATAATTTTCTCTTAGAATGTTAGGATAAAATATTGGAAAAAAGCATATATACGGTCGAATTGAGAACCTTCTCCTTTTTGGAAGTCGGTTAAAAGGAACAACTTTTATTAGGAAACAGTTCTGCGAAGTTAGGAAGTGTCAATCTTGAGGTGCTGCTGATGGCGCTCCAAGATAATCCTCATTATAATTGCATTTTTCGATCAAATATTCGCACACATATTGCTATCATTTTTTTTTGTCACATGTCGCAGGAACAGGCATGTATATTATATTTATTTCACGAATTTTGTTTTCATTGCAGGATTGAGGTGAGCAAAGGTAGCACGCCGCCTGGTCAAAACCAGAGCTGAGCGTACGGTGCGAGGAGCTCTTTTATGGATAACCGGTGCATCGGACATTGCAGCAGCAAGCCGCGCCATTGCCCGCCCAGGCACAAACATACGAGCAATATACGATTATACGGCAGGTACACGTGATGTGTGACGAGTTTTATCTTCGTAAATTACACCAAAAAATCGTCGAAACAGCTGGTTTAGCAGACACAGTGCCATAAGTTACAGCAGCTCCGACGGAGCAAAAGTTGGAACAAATTGGTTTACATTGAGAAATCGTTTAAAATTCCTACACATAGATATTGTACGCCTTCAAAATAAACAGGCATTTGGTAGTAATGCACATAATTAACGGGTATCGGCAAGCTGCAATGACGCTGTGGCTCAGTGACATTACGATTATATGCATTATAATAATGCTGTAAGCGTGTGAGGTGAAGTTGGTACTGACTTGACTGACACCTAACAACAAAATACCTGAGTCTCCTTGATGCGGCAGGTGTTTGCTGTGATACAGTTGCACCTGTGGACAAATCATCAAATCAAGATGCGAACACATAGTTTCAAAATTTATAATATTCTTATGATCTTTGTAAGGTTTATTTTCCAATGCTGTGTGCTTTATGACAGTCTGGCCTATTAAAGAGCAATCTTTCTAACTTGTTAACTTCGCCAAATGTGGACGCACAAAAGTTCTGCATGTTCTTGATTTAAATACCTATAATATTAATTGTTGGCACAAGTTTAGACTTCTACAATTTATACAATTTGCAAAAGATGAAGTAAAACAGCGTCATAATAATGTGGTTCACAGAGGGATCATTGTGAAAATTAATGTTTCAAAGTTTCAAATCATCCAGACAAAGACTGAAAGAATGTCTTTTAGAAATATAGTTATAACCTTTTCTCAGATTTAAATTAAGACCGAAGAATTAAGAACTGTGTTCGTTCATTATTGATCTGCATGGTTCACGGGGAGGAAACGATAAGATTATTATGGTGCGTAATATTTTTTTCCATTTTAACATTTGTGTACAAGGCGGACTTAATGATATAGGCATCTGCCAGCCGAACCTTTAGGTGATGTAGAGAGGAGTTAACATTAGGTGTCATAAGCAAGCCAAATCATTATATTACATCGAGATTTTACATTTTATCTCGGCTTTCATTCTCTTAATCTTTCCTGAATCTTTCCTTTTTGCTGACGTCTATACAATACATGGTCCAAACAACGATTGTAACTGTATTACTAGTTAAAATCATCAGAGGTTTCGAACCTTGTGCTCTCTCGGCGAGAGTTAGCAATCTATCGACGTGTACGGTGGAGGTGATAGAGTACCGATGCTCTGCTCTTGTGCTGCTGTACAGATAAAATTGACAATTATATAATAAGTATATCACATCTCCTTAGCCAATGATTTAAAGTTGGTGCCTTGATCGTAATACCTGAGACTACTTGACGAGACAGATGGGTGCTGTGATGTGATGCCACCTGTGAACAAACTAGTAAATCAAGATGCAAATACAAGTTGCTTCAAAATAGATTCCTATGATTTGGGCTTGGAAGAGACTTTATTCTACTTTATAATAAGAAAATCTATACTGCTAATGCTTTTAATATTACCAATTCAATGAAACTTGGTGTACCTATGCAAACTGTTCTGTAATGATTGTAAAAAAGAGGCACACGGTGAATTAGAGAGAACATAGTATGGGAGAGCCGTACTTCGGCACGAAAGGCCAGCTCGACCGGAGTTTATAACACGGCCTCTCAAAAACCGGCGATAGTACCACAGCGTTTTGTTTTACCGTGTGAGTGAGGTTGCCCGAAGCCCAATTTTTCTTATCTACCCCAAACCCTAAGTCTCGAAAACCCTATTCCCCAAAAGGTCGGCAACACACTAGTAACTCACGTACACCCGCAACACCGTGTACGTGTACGGGGGCGGACCATTGCTTTTTTGCCGTTCTATAAAAAAAAACTGTGATCCTACAAATTTTACATCACTCTCTTCAACTGAAACAATTAGTATAGATATTATACTTATATATAGTGTAATACATGTTTTGCTGATTACAGTTCAGTAAAGTTTAATCGAAACAACACTTCGTCCCCCTTATTACAAAACAAGGTTTATCTTTAGTCCAGGTTTAAACCATTGAGTCGGGTATTGAATTTTGAATCTTATTGTCATCTACCATCAATTCGAAATACGAAAACTGGCTCAATGGTTTAGTCCTAGACTAAAGTAAAACCTTGTTTTGTAATAAGGCCGCGTATGTTTAGTTGAAAAGAGGCCTAACTCTGAAGAGGAGGTATTTTAATCTTTAAGTTATACTGCAACAAAATTTTCATTAGCTAGTTCTGTTTTCTTTTTTAAAGTCAAAATAAAGATGCATATAGATGCACACTTGTGTGCGTATAACTAATTACAACCATCAATTTGTCCACTCTCGTCGGGAGATGGCAATCTATCGATGTCTGTGGTGGATGTAGCAATAGAGTGATGACGCTCCGCTTCATTGTTCCTGGACAGATTAAATCGTATTATTCATTTATGGATTTTGCCTAAAATTAAGTACAAGGTGGGCTTATTTCAATAGGTATCATAAGGCTATATTGAACTTTTGTAATCGTTTAATGAAGAATGACATTAAGCACATAATCAGTTTCAGTTACAGAATATATATATAGATATAGAGATAGAGACGGGCACAGAAAGTTGTTATAACACTAAAATTAGGTAAGTCAAAGTTAGAGCTGGCGTACTCGTCAAAATACCTGTAACTAGTTGATGAAACAGATGCGTTCGAGGTAATTGCACCACCATACACACCTGTGAACAAATGGAAATATGTGTACCTATATGTAATTACAAATTATTACGATGTTGGTGGTATTATAGGTAGCGCCGATAGCTTACCATCAGGTTACACGCCTGCTTGCACAGCTGAATCACAAAAAATATACTCATCATCTCTATACGACCTACATAAAGTAAAATTGACTAAATCATTGTTTATAATTCATGACAGCACGGTAGGTGCGGTGGCTAGGCAACTGGCTGCCGTGCAACGTGTCGCTGGTTCAAATACCGCATGGAACAACTCTTTGTGTGATCCACAAATTGTTGTTCTAGGTCTAGGTGTCATGTGTATATGAAATTGTATGTTTGTAACCCCACCCACGATACAAGAGAAAAGCTAAAGGGGGGAGCGTTTTTTAAAAAAAATGGCATATTAGACTTACTTATAATTTTAATAGAAGCTCGATATAATTCGAAAAAAGTCACATTGGTACTGCAAGGCTGCAAATCCTCATGCTTGAGAAGACATTACCATCGGACCACCACGACATTTTCAGTAAAACATCGCACTAACTTTAAAATTTTGTGTCTGAAAGGATGTCTAAATCATTTTAGTTTTAAATTCAAATTGAGTGTCGAACTCAACACTTCGATTCATTTAAAAGGTATCAAAATATTTCGCACACCCTGTATAATTAATGTACAGGCTACAAACTTTTTCATATTATTTTGTACCAACTAAAAACGTCACTGGCTTTGTTATTTAGATACCGTTGATATCAGTTAAATTTTCATAAACTAAATGGATTAAGTATTCCTTAGTAAATTTGTAATTTGTTTATTCGCATCCAGTCAAAAACAACCTTAATTAATTCAGTATATTCCGTGTATTTAGCAAATTTTAATGATTCAATACATATGCATCCTTAAATACGGTATATTAAGCAATAACTTTAATTATCCCAGTCCCTCCTAAATCCCTAAATCTCCAAATCTCTAATCCCTAAAAGGTCGCCAATGCACTCGTAACTCCTCCGTGGCGAGTGTCCATGGGCGGCGCTGATTGCTTACCATCAGGTAACAATGAAACAATGATCCGTCTGCTCGTTTGCCGACCAATTAAATAAAAATAAAAAAATATTCAACATGTATCCTTAAGTCCAGTAATAGATACCTATCGTGTGTTCATTTTGTATTTTTGCTTTACTTAAATGTTATTAAGTTATTTATGTTTTTCATCGTCAAGCAACTCGTTAGTCTTATTTCTGGCAGCAAGGGTGTAAGCTAAATGATGTACCGCCGCCTGGATCGGCGTAGGAGAAGGAACAGGTTAGTAGTTTCAGTGAGAGTGTGCCATTCCCACTCACCCCACCCAGAGTGGAAGAAGTCTCTTTTTTATTCAAGAAGGCTTACAGACTAGTTAAATAAAAAAACTAGCCTACTTTCGCATGGTTTTACCCGCTGCTCAGCTTCATTTGATCGTAGCTTTCTATCAGAGAAAGAATTTTGACAATCCAACTAGCGGTTCCAAAGATTACCCCCTACATAGAAACTTACAAACATACAAACTGTATAGATATAAACTTAAACATCGCTAATAACAAGCTTCTACATATTACCTTACTGATGAGGGAACCTATTAAGATGTCTCATGTGATATTTCCCCTCTGCCCGTCAAAAAAAAACATCAATGAAATTTATTATACTCTTTAATGTTCCTTACCTTGCGCTGTAGCACTTAGTCTCGTTATCAAATTAGTATCATCGAATGCACTCCGGTCGAATTGGTCTACGTTTGGTGAAAAGTTCTGCGTTGCCATGCTCATACTCAAATAACTGCATAAAAAAATGATTATATTGAAAAGTATTATCTTTTATAGCAATAAAATATAAAAATATAAATTAAATTTTATATTAAAATTAAAATATGCTGTATTTTAATGACAGCACAGAATTTAACAGCGTAAGAATTGCTTCAACAGAGTTTTCTGTACGTAATAAAAAATAAATAAAGGTATATCACGTCTGCAATGGTATATTGTTGAGTTTTGAACACTGTACGGTTAACGTACATTGATTATTTGTGATTTAATTTTATATGACGTGTTTACAATCACCATTAAACATAAATTAGTGCGTTATATAGTTCAAAATATTACTTGCATGATTACTAAGGACTGGCCTCGCATCTTTGTGATTAAACTATTAGGTAAGAAGAATAGTTATAATCATATTTATTACCTTAAATAGTTCAAATATGGCACTGAAACCAGAAGCCACGGTTGGTTATGATGTTGAATTCCAGAAGCCAACGGGAAACTGTATGAATTTGGATCCAGCAATCTGTAGAATATTTGTGTTTAGTAATTTAAATCCGAATCTGAGTTCTTTAAACAGACAGTACCTAATTTAAAAGGTCAATATTGATAACGTTTGAAAACTTAAAGTTAATGGTTGAGTGCACGGTTGGTGCAGTAGCTAGGCAACTAACTAACTGGCGGCCGTGCAACATATCGACAGTTTGATTAGCACACGGAACAACTCTTTGTGCGATCAACAAATTATTGTTCCGAGTTTGGGTGTTATGAGTAATTGATATTGTATGTTACAAACACAACCATGACACAGCAAAAAACCTAGTGTGGGGCAACGTGTTAACTAAAAGAAAAAATGTAACTACCATACTTATTACAATCAATGCATGCGAATTTCATCGCAAGGCCACTTAGCCACACTACACACTTAACCTAAACAAAACTGCAATAATAATCATAAATATTACCCTAAACAGTTGAAATAAGGGTTAAAAGCTAGTGCCCATGGTTGGTACAAGTTTTGAGTTCCAGAAGTAAACGGTGAACTATGAGGGTCTGGAAACCTGTAAAAATAAAATTGTATTATGAACAACGAAAGAAACATTAGCTAATGCACCATCTGGTAAGCTTTAGGTGGGACCTGGTTTAAATGAAATTACTGATTCTTTTTAAACCGACTTCAAGTAACTTTTCGATGTTTGTATGTAGCGACCTAATATGAAAGAAAGAAAGAAAAAGTATTTATTCGCGTCTGGGACGCATAAAAGACACAAAACGAACAAGATAATAAAATGAAGTTAAAATAAAAATACATTAGGTAAGCATGGTAAAAACAATATCACAAAAGTAGAGGGTAGGAGAAAAATATGCGTCCAAGCACGCGTAATGGCCCACGCTCAGCATAATGCAGCGACCCCGTACAAGACGGGGTCGCAATATATCTTAATAGTGTTATTTTTAATGTCACAGTCAATTAAAATTATTTGTATTAAGATAAAAAATTATAGTTAACACAGGCAGATAAAGTTAAACAGCAATTACCTTATTTTACTAGATTTTTTAATGTGATCATTTTTCGTTGTTTGTTAAGTTTTATATTCAAAAGAAAATAAAAAGTAAAATCGTATTTAATTAGGTACTTATACGAGGGCTTCGTCATATTACCTTGTCCAGAAACCGCTTGCAGGGTTGGAGTGCAACGGTAAATATCCCCCTGTGAACACGTAAATCATCAATCATATACACACATATCTTTGGATTATTTCTACAAGTTCAAGCCTTGCACATTAGAGAATGATGAATAAAAAGAAAATGTTTAATACCAATCGAGCAATGGCTGTTACAGTTATACTGCAGTCGTTAAACGTAAGCTTCAAGATTATTTTGAGTGCATGTTAAATTAGTCTTTTATAGAGCATATACTGACTTATTGAAAAAATCGTTTAAAAACGAAGTTTGAAATTTAACTCGATGTACAGAAAGCAAAATTTAATAAATAGTTAGAGAATACTTAAAGGCTTTAAATCCGCCATTCACTATGTAATTTGTGCGAAGAAAAACAAACTAGGACCATGAGTCACTTACCGTAATCAAATTGACGCATCGGCGGGCGCATGGGATGATGGTATTGGGTGTAGCTTGGAGCTTGTGCGTTGTTTGACATCGTGTAGGTTAGATTCGGCATGTAGTTAGAAGGTGACGGACAGCAAATTGTAATGGGAGCAGTTACCGGGATTCTTGATAGCGCAGTGTTCTTGAATGACATTTTGAGCTACAGTTCCATACAGTCTATATAGAAGCTAAGCCAAGCCCCAATCGTCGATTTCAAATCTTTGTTCCTGTTCTGCCCGAACTTCGTAAAACTCTCTCTGGCTCTGTCAACAATAATGATAATGGCAACTTTTTGTATACTAACTAGGTACTTATACAAATTTTATTAAAAATCGCGTAGCAATGACGCATCTCATCGACATTACGAGTATCTAAGTCTCCGACAGCAATAGGATTTTTTTTATTTAATAGGTCGGCAAATTATGGTAAGCAATCAGCGATCAGACGATCAGGATTACCTGATGGTAAGCAATCAGCGCCGCCCATGGACACTCGCAACGGAGGAGTTACGAGTGCGTTGCCGACCTTTTAGGGATTAGGGATTTGGAGATTTAGGGATTTAGGAGGGATTGGGGGAGGGGAAGGATTGGGCCTCTGGTAACCTCACTCACACGGCGAAACACAACGCTGTGGTTATTTCACGCCGGTTTTCTGTGAGGCAGTGGTATCTCTCCGGTCGAGCCGACCCATTCGTGCCGAAGCATGACTCTCCCACACTTAAAATGCAAGTATGCAAGGGAACTATCATTCAACTTGAAATACAAAGGATTTGTTTAACAGTGGACGTCTTGTTAATGGCTGACTGGATTTCTGATGATGATGATGATGAATAAAACACATAATATAATAATTAATATGTATAATATAAAAATACTACTCTGCAAACAAAGTAAAGTTTATTAAGCTCAAAGCTAACCTAAGCTTTACAGATTTACGAAGGCATGCTTTTTATGAGCTGTGTCTTACACTAGAATTTTGTTGTTTGATGACACAATATACATTAGTATATTGTGTTAAGTGTGAGAGCCATGCTTCGTAATGCATGGGCCGGACCGGAGTAATACCACGGCCTCACAGAAGACCGGCGTGAAACTACCACTGCATTGTGTTTCACCGTGTAAGTGAGGTTACCGGACGTACAATCCCTTCCCCTGCCCCCATCCCTTCCCAATCCCAATACATATCCGAAACCCTTATCCCTAAAAGGCCGGCAATGGGCGGAGCTGATTGCTTGCCATCAGGTAATCCGTCTGCTCGTTAGCTAACCTATATACCATAAAAAGTGACACAAATTAACCACAAAAACTATTAATATAATTCGTTAAGCGGACTTGGTCGCGGGCAATCAATGCTAACTAAATTTGCGTGATTCTGACATTCGCAAAGAAAGCATAATTATATAAAATTTATGATAATATAAAAGGGGAAAATGCCATCAAGTTAATACATACATAAGATAAGATAATATTATACATACATTCGCAGTGAAAGAGGTTATTTTGCAAGCACAAATGTTATAGCGAAATAAAATATATATTTTTATAGTAATTTCATCATAATTTTAGTAGTTTTTTGTTGCATGTGTAAAGTTAATGATAGTACATAGTTTTAATAATGTTTAGATATTATTATGTTTTCGTAAAGAAAAATAAATATCTCAATTCGCAGTTAAATCTCATATTTATCACAATCACATTTAAATTAGGGTTACAAAGAACTAATTCAGGACGAAACATGCCCCAGTTGTCCAAACATCTTTTTTTAAAGCGCGTGCTACTATTTTCATAAAGCTTTTGGGTCAACAATTGTAAAAAATGCATCTAGAATAAAATTTGTTTTTATCTGCAATGTTTCAAGACGTTGCTTTGATCCTTTGATTGAGCTGACTGTAAATTGAATGCAGCATGCTATAGTACTGATCGTAGCGCCATTGACCGCTTGTAGATAATATGCCTGGGGTCCTGGTTTTCCTTGCGTCCGTATCTCGGCTACAATTCAGTAAATTCTTCGAAGAGCCTGAAGATTCTGGCGAATATCTAGCAGGTATATTATACTAGCTACTCTAGCGCGGTTTTACCCACTGCTCGAGTCCATTTGATTGTAGCGTGATGTTCTATAGCCTATAGCATTTAGGAAAATTGTAGCTACTTATCAATGAAAGAATTTTGGCAATCCGACCAGCGGTTCCAAAGATTACCCGCTACATACAAACTTACAAACATAAAAAAATTTAAAAAAAATCAAACATACAAACTTACAAACTTACAAATTTTACCTCTTTATAATATTAGTATAAATAAAGAAGGGATGCTAGACATAATATATGTCGGTAAGATATATTACTTTGAGCTGTGATCTTTTGGCTTATGGCGATATGAGGAAGACTTGACCTGCGAGGTTGTCGACGTATGGAGTGCAGAGTCAACTAAGGTAGTGTCGATAGTTACAACCTACATGGCCAGTGGGCAAGTTTCTAACTACCTCAGGCTGATGGTAAGCGAATAGATCAAGAACCTGATACAGATGCACTTCTACTTGAAAAATAATGTAATGTAAAAGACGTTTTCGTTTATGAGACACGACATTTTTCTTAAAATATTAATGTCTGTTTTAAACGCTTTTTGTTGTATTATTTCAAATGAAATTATAAACTGATACCAATATAGCGCATTAAAATATAATCTTCATTTAACTAAATCATAATTGGTTCAGTAAAATTTCTGCCTATTATTTAGGCGATGTATTGGTGGCGACAATGTGGAGTGTGATGACAGATGACACGTGTATGTGTGTGTCTGCTTTGCATAGCATCCGTGTTTGTGTGTCTATGTAAGGTAAGTAAGTGTTACAATAGGATATGACTATATTCGCTTCGCTTAGCAAAAACAAAAGCTGTTTTAAGAATTCATAATAATATAATATTAAATAGAACTACCTCTTCGCTGGTGCTCAAAACTCTATGTAATCGCATTTACTACCGAAGTTTAAAATTTAAATAGTTAAGGAGCTTACCCATTGTATGTTCCAGATGAAATCTAGGTCAATAAAAACAATATTGAACTTGCCTCAGGCTGCTCGTGCAAATAAAATATACCTTGTTTATTTTTTCCTGCAGTTAAATGGCTTTGTATCACTACGTAGTATAAAACAAAATCGGTTTTTCTGTCCTTGTATCCATATGAATGCTTAAATCTGCTTAAATGAATGCATTTTTTTATAGATTGAAGTGGAAAGTCAATATGTTTTAACATTCATTAAATAGTAAAGAGATTAGTTTTCATCATTATTAGTATCAGTATTGCACCTGTGGGAAGCCGGGACGTGTTGCTAGTAGGTAATTTTTTTTTTACCTGTGAACCAGCAAAGGAAAATACGTGGAGCAACACTTTTAAAAAAAATATGACGGACGCAGCTTCTGAACAAAGGCACACGCGCTTGCTTAAGCGCCTTGACAATATAGATATGAACAGAATAAGTACATTGAGATCAAATAGTATGAAAACTGCATTAAACTGTTACACAAATATACACACACATACGATACTAGGGGTGTAGGTGATGTCGGTTTTTCAGTACTGAGAATTGTGTTAAATCGAGTAAAATATATTATAATTTTATTTCTGTGATATTTTTGAGCGTACTGTATATGTTTTCGCGAAATGTAAATCTTAAATGGCGACTGCACTATTTTATACTGCAACGAAATTAAAGACTGTATAACATTTTGTAGGTCTAAAACAGACATCATTGAAATCAATTCAGTAATTTACTTTTTCAGATTTTTTTCAATCACTGGTGTGGCTAACTTCCAATAGTATAAAAGTTTAAAATCATTTGATTGGATTGCAGAAAATATTTTGGTATTTATAAAGTGATAATAAAAAGAGAAATAAACAATTAAACACATTCTTTCTCAGTTTTAGGCATCATAGGCAAAATTTTTATAATATAATATAAGTGCCCACTGCTGAGCAAAGACAAAGAAGGTTTGAGCATTAACCATCTCGTTTGCTTATAGCGGATTGGCGATTTCAAACTTATAATCAGAAATTATAAGCCCAGGCTTCCTCGCGATAGCTTTTGTAGGTTCCTGTTTCGGATCCAGTGGGAGGAAACGCCCGAGTGTCGTCGCGCGCGTGATGGAACTATCCTCCTCGCGCCCCAGCCGCCGCAGAAGGCAACGTTCCGGACGTCGGGGATCGAGAGATGATCTCCGGCCACCGTAAGCGCGGGTCTGCGGACGGTGAGCTACCCTGACTCGCCGACCAGAACCGGACCCGAGCGTACGGCGCCTAGCGTTCCGCGCGCGCCTCAAAGAGTCAGGGCCTAATAGGGCTGATGTTTAGCCGGGGCTGCGGGGTAAGCGCAATGAGGCACCGCGACCTCGGCCCAGAGCAGGAGAAGGAACGGGGGGATATTTAGTCAGTAAGAGTCTGACACTCTGTCTCGCCTTATCCTGGGCGGGAGAAGTCATTGGATGATTTTCCCCTGACAAAAAAAAGGCTTCCTCACGATGTTTTCCATCACCCTTTGTCAGGTCTAAGTAATCGTAAAAAGTACACATAACTCGGAAAAAGACACATTGGTACCTACTTGCTATGATTCGAAATTTAATTTTAATAAGGACTTGTGTAACACTTTACGATATTACGAAAGAAGTTTTTACTTTTCATATAATTAGAGATATAAATGTACTTATTTTAAATTATGCATCGAACATTTGGCTTGCATGCATACTCAAGCCTGACTTTTCTGACTAGTATTCAGACTGCAAAGAGAACGTGCCTGCACTTCTAGGAATACCGTTAAAAATAATATTGTTAATATTTGTGTAGTTGAACTCGTTTCTGACAATTTTATATCGCACTGTGGCTTCTAGGCTTCTCTACTTACAAGAACTGAAGGAGAAAAGCGTTTATTTAGGGAGTAGGTAACTGAAAATAAGTTTGGATGAAATATATTACATTGAAATTTGTACTGTACATTGTCAATCATATCAAACTATTTTTGTTAGTATGTATAATATGAGGTATATAAACGAGTTTATTGTTTTTGGAACTATCTTGGTGCCTTATTTAATTCAAATTTGTCTCGGGACTTAAAAATGAAAATTATACCTAAATGGTTCACTTTTGTTGGAGATTTTTTCAGCTGTTAGCGGAATGGCTAATAACACATACCACATGTAAAGTCTAAGAGCCTGTTTCACTATCATACGAGTCACCGAAAAACTTAGTATCACATAGATTAATTATTTATCAGGACTTTTACATGTCATGTATAGATGAACTATGTTAGAAGAAATTATGTTGTATATTCAACTTTATCTGGCCCACAGCAGCTAAGTTTTTTGTTTGTCAAAGGAAAATCATCAAATGCCTTCTCCCGCCCAAGATAAGGCGAGAGAGAGTGTCAGACTCTTACTGACTAAAAATCCCCCGTTCCTTTTCCTGCTCTGGGCCGGGGCCGCGGTGACCCATTGCGCTTAACTCGCATCCCCGGTTGACATAGCAGCTATTTAGTCATTATCAATTAAGCTCACACAGTAAGTAAGTAAGTACAATTAAATTGGTCCGGCTCGACGTTTAATAAAAAACAAGCAAAAGAGATTTAGTTTTTGATATACTGACAGTTTCATATACCAGTTTAAACCAGTTTCAAACTTAGTACCTCCAAAGTTACGTTTTGTTTTATGAAAAACCGAGTCCCAGTTTAGCCTTCCGATCATGGTTATAAATATTAGATACTATAGTAAGACAATAGTTGCGTGAACGCCGAAATTCGATTGGGGTTTGATGAATTTGAATACTGGAGGGTAAGAAAGAGACTAATAATCATGTGTGTTATGTCCGTCTGTTGGTCCTAAGTTCTATCTCTTATTACTTTCAGTCAATTTTGGTCATCTGTTCTTGATTTTCTAAATAGTCTTAACTAACGTGATTACATCTCGATTATCATGTACGCAGTAAATTTAAAATTAGGGGGACTGACTGACCGCAAACTATTATACCATACTATAGTTTTATGGCATAAATAAATTCAAAAAGAGAAATACAAAATTATTTACCTGTAGAAATATAATTGTGTTGACTTAGTGCAGTCAGAATTAAAAAATATACATTCATTTATTATTTGCAGATCAAAAAACGAATGATTTAAGAGTTTACTCGTAAGTAAGCTTAACACTTTTAATGCTCGCCAAATTATCTGGACAGAATATTTAAACAATGACCAGAAAAGGGAAGAAATCAAAGAAAAGGGTCATAATTAAATTTATAACACATTCATGAAGCATGTAATATAGCACCACAATATATATTATGCAAAATATAAAATTAATAATAACTCAAAGTAAAATACAAAATAAGTCGAAATACAATTTTTATCGGAAGTAATTTTTCCACGCCGACAAAGTCAGAGGCGACAGAAAGAAAATGAGTTATTCAATATTTGTATTCATCTCTCGCTGGGCAATTAATATTTTTCATTTGTCAGCTGCAGCATGACTACTGCTAAAATAATATTTTTTTATTATTTTAACAGTTATGAGTAACATTTATACATATTTTTCATATCCTTCTATGTTTTAAGTGTAATCAAATATTTACAATCTTAAATAACCGAATACATTAATTTTAAAATTAGACATTCTAAAATGTTAATTCAAATTTGTTTAAGATAATAAGAAGTAATAAAATATATTAAAAGTTTACGATTTAAAAGTAATTGTAGCGAGTACAATAAACTACATTATTTTAATAAATTACAACATAAAGCCTTATAAATACATTATTTTGTGTCAACAGAATTAAAATTTTATATCAACAAAATAAAGAAATTTTAATGTGCAATAATAAATTATTTGAAATTATAAAATATTATAAAAAAGCACACATCCAAACATACAAATAAAATGAAACAGGTCGAATATAAAATTAAAACACTGAAAATGTGACTTACAATATTACAATAATTACACCACAGAGAACTTTTTAGTATTCATTGGAAATTTCTTCACAAAGTTAAAATATAATAATATCTAAGAGCTAAAATACGATTCGCGCGAGCCACGTCCGGACGGGCCGTTGCTACGATTTGAATGTTGACGTACAACAGGGCGCCTCAACGTAGAGACCTCATTGCTTGACGAGCGCACAAACTGTACTGTTCAGGTCTCTGTACCACCGGACGGTAATAATCCGGCGAAACTTGTAATGGGCATGCACGAGGGATCCTGGTTTAAAGTACAGACATCTTTTAGTCTACAATAAAAATTATTTGATATAATTGCTAGATCCTTTTAGTGTAATCAGTAAACAATAGACAGTACCTACTTGTGGTATTACACAAGTTATTGTTAGTAATAGTAAAAAATATACATTAGCTACGGGTTTTTTACAAGAACATAGTTTAATAAACTCTGGATACATTTAAATACTAAACATCATCAAAACATAAAACTGCAACATGTAAATTATAAAAAAAACTAATTTGCACTTTAATAAAGACTGCCCAATGAGTTTGTTTCGGCACTTCTTTTCAGAGTAGTCAGATAGGAAACAGCTTGATCTAGATTTTTATTTTATTTTGTGTAAAAGTTATGTTTTATGGCCTATTGACAAAATAAATTTACTGTTTGATGGTTTAAAATACGAAATGTTTACATACCAGTAGTAAATACCATCTCGATCTGTATAAAACTTTTATGGAGTCGCGTGTTCGCAATAATAATTTAAGATTAGTTTAGATAAGTCTCTTTTTTCTCATGTATGTAACCTAGTCTTAAAGCATGCGGATTTTAGCAGTAAGTAATGTTACTATCAGTACAATACCAACAATTGTTGGGGAACCAATAAATGAAACAGAATTGACAACACTCTACAAGACAAAGTACCTAAATACAGCTAAGGGATGTCCGATTGACACCACCGGCGATGTTCCCAATGCCCCAAAAAGTAGCCATATATTTTTTTTTTTTTTTTAAGAAATTTCTCTTCTTCATCACAAATATGACTGGAGTTTCTACAAAAATGATTACTTAATTATTTTTATATCTGCTTTCTGTGTATTGGTACTAAATAAATGAAGCGGTATCTTATTAATGTTAACTATGGATTTTTCATGAGAAATTAAAGTTCATTTTTCAATTTATAGCAAAGTAGCTTTAATCGCTGATTCATCCGTGCGGATGATTGACTTCAGACTGAATGCAAATACTTGTATTATTAATGTTTTAAAGACTGATAGATCTTCATATTTCTATTATTTAATTTATTTTTGTAATTCAATTTTAATATTTGATATATTAATGTATAAACTGTCGCGTTTCATATTTACAACATATAATTACGAGGGCATCAACGCGGAAAATAATTATTTAGATACCTTGGTAGGCTTGACGTTTCGACCTGGTTGCGCAGGTCGTGGTCACCAGCAGACTGAAGATGCGATGTCACAACTCCCTGTATTCGGGCGATGAATCTTCATCTACCCCTTATTTTCACTTTCTACCATATTAGGCTGTCTACACACTACACTGACCGTATTCACAGGTGTCTTTACCGACTCAGAAGGAAAGCGAGGTTGTGTTTTCCGAAACGCTGGATTCCACGTCAACAACGATTTAAAGCCGTCCTCCCGATTGAAATTTAGATTATTTGATATGTAGAGTCGAGTAGTACTGTTGATGCTATTTTAAACTTTCTCGGCCTTATTACAAAACAAGGTTTAACTTTAGTCTAGGACGAAACCATTGAGCCAGTTTTCGTATTTCGAATTGAAGGTAGATGACAATAAGATTCAAAATTCAAAACCCAACTCAATGGTTTAAACCTGGACTAAAGATAAACCTTGTTTTGTAATAAGGGGGTCTACGTTTTATTTCTAATTTGAACTTGAGCTAATCCTGAATAAATAACAATTTTAAAACGTCATATATCCATGTAAGTATCAAAATAAGTAAAAAGAAACACGTGCCTATATATGTATATACCTATATATGCAATGAGGATTTCACAAATAAACGTGATAACAAAAACTTAGTATAATAATATGTTTTACTATTGGTGGAATAGAATAATCCCCTACGCAAGTGATTCGTTTGTGCCCCACGATTGGTTCAGCAAAATACATAAATATTAATGACAATTTCCTCCTTCGGAGAAGGTATTTTTTTCCGACGATATTTTTTACGACCAGATTCAGCCGGGGCTAAGCGCAATATGGTACCACGACCTGGGCCCGGAGCAGGAAAAGGAAGAAAAGAATGGGTTGGTTTTTAGTCAATTAGAGTCTGATATATATTAGAGTTAATAAAGCGTTAATATTCCGGGCGAGAATGAGGGATGGAGACGGAAAATTGACGCTTTCACAATTTAGGGCAGGCATACTGTTCTTATTAGGATAAAAAATACATTTTGAACCGACATGGCTTTTTGTCTCATTCAATAGCGTTTGAAAAATAATTGCCTAATTTTTTTTATCCTCAATGTACAATAAAAATCTAGCGCATTTAAGTACTTATTGTCACTTGTAATAGAAAATTAAATTCTTTCAACATATGGTTTGAAAAGTAAAAAACAATAGATTTAAATTTACCAAAATAAAATTGTTGACAATTTTTATTGTAAATTAATGATCAGGTAATTTACAATAAGTGTCTAATTAATAAAATGTTGATAGGGTTGGCACATTGTTTTGATATTATTATGTTTTTTAATTTCATTTTTTTTTGTGTTAAGGTATCTAAGAGACCATCCAAGCTCACGGTTCCAGTACAATTCTTCAGCACAGGTGCTGAGGGACTATAGCTGATGAGCTTGACTAACACCCAATCTGACTTCGATGGCACGGTTTTATCGGGGAAGGTAACACGACACATCTAATTGTTTTTAGTCAATAGACACGGTGTATGCAGCGCATACATTTCATTTCATTATATCAATATTTTCTTATAATGTACAGCATTTATTTTTTAAATTAAATTATGTTGCTTAGTAAGTATTTGTTATTACGAGTTGCGTTTATTTTCACTTAACTCGGCCTAATTTTGATTATAACACTCTTTTTTAATGTCTACTATCTACATAGATCAATATGATCATTGATATGTAATAGAGCACACTTAAACGGGTTGCATAAACGAAGTTCAATCAAATATTAATACTTGATCTCTTCCTTGTCCATAGGACGGTATTTGTCGTCATTGCATGGACTGCCCAGAAGATACAGCGGACACTACAGGAGAATTGAGCAAAGAGGATCTCTGGTCACTGTAAGCTCGGTTCTGCGGTCAGCAAGCAAGGGTAGCTCGCCGCTCGACCAGAACTAGACCCGAGCTTGTGGCGCAATGCGTTCTGTGCGCACCTCAAATAGCCAGTAGACCATTACAGAAGAGGCCAGATACGATCGATGTCTAGCCGGAGTTGCGGGCCAAGGGCAAGTACCGCGGCTTCTGCCTGAAGCAGAAAAAATAACAGGGTGAATTTGGTCATTTAGAGTCTGCCTTTCTGCTCGTCTCACCCTGGGCTAGAGAAGTAATTATTATGATTATCAACCATAATAAAGTTAACAGACATATTGTAATATAATATTTATTTTGTATTTTTTTAAATAAATTGCTAGTTGTGTTTGTTTGTAGTAATACAAATTTAATAAAAAGGTACTACCGGCGTAGCGATGTCCGTAGCAAAGCTACGGAGTCGATGCGTCTGTGTGGCGGGCGCGCTACGGTGTGTAAGATGCGAGGCTCGAAGCGTAGCACACTGGACACGTGCGGCCCGTTCGATCGTCGGGCGCCCCACTGTTGGGTACTAAGTGATCCCAACTTATATTGAGATTACAACCCTTAGGCACGTTGCAACAGGGTAGCTATTGTTGGTTTGAGTTGTTTAATACTTTATTTTTATTATTTATAGTAAAATATTCTTTTCATAACACAATATTTGTGCTGTTAATGTTCTTGTTTTATTGTAGGCCTTATTAATATTGATTATGTTTCTTGGTTTTATAAACAAATATATTCCATACATAGACCACTAGACCACTTCGAGGCCACTTTAATAAATAACTATATATTCTTAGCTCAGTAACTTCCATACTTTGCAGGGTTACAATACAACGTCTGCTTAATTATAGGCTACTAGTGTTTGACAATACGGATTACACTGACACCAGCTTCCTATGAAAGGTAGGAAGGAAATTCCGGTTTTTGCTATTTGTGTACGGGACCCCTCTAAGCACTCGTCATGGATAAAATACCGAAATAAAATATCAAAAAATAGTTATGTAGTTTGTGTACTGTTAGATAATTTTTATGGGTAGACCAGCTTTGAAAGTGGAGGGTGTTAATACATATTTTAATGTTTAATCCATGAGTATTCATGGTATTGATTTATTTGGTTTTAAAATTAATTATTTAAAATTATTACACACAGAGGCCAGAGAAGTATGTCTATACGCAAATTTGCTAAAAATCACTACATGTCCTACCTGAGCGTCGCCGCATCTACCAATCTGGGTTTTGTCAGTCCCCATGCCATATATGGTAGGTACAAGCGCTTCAACGTAGAAGAGCCTAGGTCTGGTCAAATACATACATTTCACTGGCTTTTAGACTGTCAGAGATTTAAATAAAGAATTCAAGTGTATGAGGCTTACAAGACGAAATCGTATTTCGAATGGATTTTACTCCTGGTCGTAATATTATTGATTTACTATCAAGATTACGTAGCCGAGCATTCGTTGAATAAGTGCATTCAATTAAAATCTTACATACTGAGATAGGAGTTTTAAACCACTTACAGTAAAATGTTTAGACATCAAGTCCACAATTATTTACACTACTGAACTGATTTTTATTAAACTAGGTACTCGCTCATACATTACATTTAAATATTTTATTATGTATATTATGTATAATATTTTATTATGTATATTTTTTGAAATACAGTTATACATATAACCATTACATCATGGGTAATTGCTATATTTGTATAAAATCAAATCAACAATAGGTTGGTCCCATTAACATGGAATTCGACCTGAAATTTTGAATGAAAAACCATGCGGCGTAAACGCTCTTTAATGTTTATAAAAAATTAACATAAAGAAAATACAGGAAAGAACGCAAGTTTTCTCATCTACCCTATGCTAAGTCTCAATTATTGCCATTTCATTCACATCATGGCGTTCAATTGAAGCCACAAATTCATCACGATTTGTTCTAATAGACTGCCGATAGAATATATTTCTTAACTCCAAATAATTGAGTCAATGTTATTTATGTAATTAACCTAGTGCCTTACCTTCTTTTAGCCTACAGCATTGATGTCATCATCGTCGGGTCAGGTCGTTCAGTGACGTTCAGGCGTCAGAGTATTACCAAGGCCTTGGGCCTGGCCACAGCTTCTAGCGGTGCGGCGCGCGGTGCGACAGGAGGCACAGCTCGACTAGTTGCGACCGTGGCGGCGTCAGCGGTGGACGTACTCAGTATTATTTATAATGGCCCTATCAAAAGTGGCACGATATTGTCTTGATACTAATGCGTTTTTAGCTCAAGATATCATTAACTCTAAAATTGGAACAAACCTTTGCGAATTTCACACGCATTATCACGAATATAGGAACTATCCAGAATTTTTTTTTTAATATACGAGGACAAGCATAGATACCTTCGATCTGTTCTTTTATTTCATCCCACAAATTTTTGATTATATTTCTGAATTTATGTTGAGGATGTTTCGACACCCACAATGCCAGCCTATTCAATATCTCACTAATAAGTTTTTCGGTACCTATCCATTTGATGCAGTTCGAAATTTTCAAAACGATTTATTCAGTTCGCGCGAACACAAATACGTCCCCTCGCTGCCGCTGCATACGCCGCTCTGGCTGTGGCCGCCTCGATACTCCCGAGCCGAGTGCATTTGTTTCACTCGCACATCGTGCCGCCCGTCGCGCGACGCAATTCGCGTCGCCGTTAGTTGTGGCATACTTCATACGTTGTCTACCATTTGTTTTCCCCGCTCACCGCTTGTCGCGCCGCATTTCGCGACGCAATCCGCGCCGCGCTTGGCTGTGGCCAGGGGGTTACAGAAAACCATCGTCGTCAGTCAGATACATTGTAGGTCTAGTGAAACGCGAAATGTGCAGTTCAGAATTACCTTTGGTAGTAGCCCCAGACGGTACCTATGTACATAAAGCCACACAGCATATTCCGGCTGCGTAAAGATGGTTATATGTAGATACTGATCATTGAGCAAGGGTCGCTGCCTGACAAGAACCAAACCCGAGTACGTGCGCGCGTCCTACAGACCACCACAGATGGGGCCCAATAGGGCCAAAGTTAAGCTGGGGTTTCGGGTCTAGGATAATAAATAACAGGCGAAAGAACGGGGGTTTTAGTCTGTAAAAGTTTGTCATTCCCTCTCGCGATACCTTGGGCGAGAGTAGTCCCTCCTCAAAGTGTTTTTTTTTTAATGTAATAAGTAGGCAAACTAGCAGACGGATTATCTGATGGTAAGCAATCAACGCCGCCCATGGACATCCGCAACGGAGGAGTTACGAGTGCGTTGCCGACCTTTTAGGGATTAGGGATTTGGAGATTTAGGGATTGGGGAAGGGTCCGGGAAGGGGAAGGAGCCTGGGCCTCCGGTAACCTCACTCACACGGCGAAACACAACGCTGTGGTTGTTTCACGCTGGTTTTCTGTGAGGCCGTGGTATCGTCCCGGTCGAGCCGACCCATTCGTGCATGGCTCTCCCACACTTCAAAAGTATCTATTCGTGTGATGTAGTCACACAGCAAAGTTTAGTTTATTAGTAGTTGGGACTATATTCTGGCGGCTAGTGTCGAGCGCCATCTATTGTATCCTTGTAGTACTTTTGAGTTTAGTGACATCTGCAGTTATCTTTTGGTACTACTTCAGTTTGTTGTTCGTATAATAACATGAATATTTCTACAAAGATACCATAGATGGCGTTCAACTTTGTTGTGACGTAGACTAGCATAGTGGTAATACAAGCACCATAACAAGTCGTATGCTTAATAGAAAAGAGTCATAACTCACAAAAGAAGGTATTCAAATCCTAAAAAGTACATTTCGGTTATAAGGTGCAATTTTGGAAATAGCTTTTCCATGAGTCTTATATTAAACATGCGAAGTGTTATGATATTATTATTACGAGTATGATACGAAAATAAAACAGTGCGACATTAAATGGCGCCAAACTATGTACTTCATAATGAGGGTGTAAAGGCTGTTTATGTGTGATGGTTTTTAATGATGTATTATGTAGCTGTCACAGCAACAACAAGGAACCCTCGGCAAAAAAAAAAAAATCTATCGAATTTTATGTTAAAATTCTTGAGTCCGATTTCATGCTTTTTCATTGATGGGTTTTCATCGGATTACAGGAAATGGTGTCGATGTTCTTCGCTAAAAATTACAGTATCAACTCATTAGGGGGCCACCACATCAGCTTATACCGAAAATAGACATATTTTGTCTTCGGTCTACAATAATTAGTTTTGATACTTGTGCATTTTTGTGTAGTAGTAAATATTTGCTTAAATGAAATTACTTCATCGAGTTTCAGCTTATTTCATTCGATAACTTTGTTATTAGGAGGTTAACAGGGCCTGATCTGATATTGCAGATGCTCATAGAAATTCTGTAATTAAGCACTCCAGTTCAACTGGCATGAAGTTAGAATATGACCATAACTGTTGTTAAATTCAGTGCGAATAAGCTCGCTGACGTAAGTGCCAGTGACATGATCCTGTCCAGTTATCAAAATAACTATAACTAAAAAGTAATAAATTAAGTAAATAAATAATACCTACAGTCCAGCCTTTTTCAGTTTACCCAGAGAATTGGCAATTTTATATGTTCTAGTATTTATTGTAATAAAAATGGCGTTGAATTAATGTTTATCGATAAACGTGATAGTGTATTTCATAAAGGTATCATTAGTTTTTAATGCATTGTCTAAGGCTGCATCTAAGAGTTAAATCGAAAAGTAAGCAACCAGATGGAACACACATAATTATGTCTCGTTGTAAATTTACGGAGTCGATACTTTGAGGTAAACCGAGTGAAAATGTTGTCGTTAAATCTTTAAATTACGCTTTAAGTGGTGCCTAAATAATGTAGCGAAAATAGAGATGGTGGTCCTGGCTTCTCATCATCCGAAGGACTTGTAATTTCTGGAAAACAACCTCTACCTAACCTGCTGTAAAATCCGAGCTTTCCCACGAATCAACAGATTGAGTGGACCGAAATTAATCGAGGACTTATTCATGAATCACTTTATATCACTTTACGTGAACGTATCACGTCCTTTCATGGTCACCAATTCATTTCATGTATGGAATGATCATAAGGACAATGAGAAAATAAACACTTGCTCAGTTTCTTGACAGTTCCTAATAAACAGCTTGATTTGGTTTGCATGCTTTGGTTGCTCGACTTCACTTCGTATGCATTGCAAACACTTGTGGCAATATATTATTTGGTAGTCAAGAATATTATATCTGAAGCACACTATCAGGCACTGCTCTGATAGGAGCTCATCTATTTATGTCTGTTTTCTCAGCAACACCCGTGTCGTGTCGACTGCCACATTGACGATGTTGGTGCCAACAAAAAACATTTCGCAGAATGGTCTGCTTTCAGACTCGGTGCGGTCGGTCCCGGCTTAGTAAGCGAAACGCGCTGGGTCACGGTTTACTCGATAACGCAATAAAAAGCGAATGCATGGTCTTTTGGGCCGGGTGTCGGACCTGAACGAATTCTGTTCCACAGATTAAATTAAACGCTATTGTATTCAAATTACTCAGTTAATATCTATCGGACCTATCGGGACCTTTGAACGAACTGTGTAAATGAGCTGAGGGTGTCATATGTGCTAGCCAATATGATGCCGGCAAGTTTGTTGGTTGCTCGGCGGCCGTTAACAGAGTTGTCTTATTAGAGTTTTCTCTTCAGAACGTTGTTTACGTCCTTAGACGCGGCCTGTCTTTGGGATTCATATGCCCCGAAGCAGTACAACGCTCTCTGTATGTGGTATAATCCTGCGTTCAGGTTGTTGTTGGGGATGCACTAGTAGACGACGCAAAAATGATGCACATCCTGGGGCGTAGGCTCTAAATCATATCCTAAGCATATCGACATTTTCGAACAGGTTTCGAAAACAAGGATATGTCTGATTGTTTAATAGGCATTGTTTTTTTACCCCCCATACATTATAAAACAAGATTTATCTTTAGTCTAGGTTTAAACTATCGAATCAGGTTTGTATTTTGAACATTATTCTTATCTTCCTCCTATTTGAAATATGAAAACTGGCTCAGTGGTTTAGACCTAGGCCAAAACAAAACTTATTTTGTAATAAGGCCGTATAAGTTTACTATTTATTTATCTAATTATTCATTGAGGTGTCATATGAAATCTATACTTACTGTGATCTCAAAAGTTTGAATTTTTAATTTAGAATTAAAAAATGGTGTCATAAACATTTCTTTTCTTTATTATAATATGTGAAAATTACGCGTAACATTTACTTTCACTTGTTATGTTTTGAGTCTCATGTGACAGAAAATGGGCCTACTGGCGCACCACATCACATTATGAAATTTTATGTGACCTTTGCAGATTTTTTTATGGGATAGGTCAGCGAGCGAACTCCCTTACTTGATCGATGTCGTCCGTGGACACCCGCAACACCAAAGTAGTTACTTGCTGGCTTTTACCCTTATCCCCAATAAGGGTTTCGAGTTTTTAAGGATTGGGAAGGGATGAGGAAATGGGTAGGGATTGGAACTCCGGTAACCTGCATACAGACGATGATGATAAGTCTTTAGTAACCACTGAGAAATTTTCAGATACCCGAAAATAACACGGATTATTATATTGCATGGTTTATATAGGAACCGAAAACGAGGGCTCCTGCTCGGCCGGTACTTGTGGCTACTGAAACAACACGGCAGTTTCTTTACTTTGTATCTAGACTGTAATATAATTGCCTAACTAACGCCATCTACAAGAAGATTCAAAAAATATTGTCGCTGTAACCACCAGCAACAAATTTTACGAGTTTTAACGTCATCTAACACTTTTTGATTGTGTACAGTCATGTATAGTGCCATCATAATATTACAGATCTTCTATCATTTAAAAAATATTAAAACTATTTTTTAGATGAATGGAAATATCATTCGAAGCGAGACCATGATAAACTGTTTTTTTCAGCTCGTTGTGTAGTCCTTTGATTAAACGCCATCTGTAGTTTATTAGTAGTACTATTGAGTTCAGCGCTATCTGTTGTTATACTTTGGTACTATTACATTTTGGTCTTTCAGAAGACCATTTAGTTACAGCAGAAAATGTAGGTGGCGCTGTCAAACAAAAATAATCATGACTTTTAAGTACTAGGTATGGAATAAACTTTGTTTCCATTGTATTTGTATCCATATTCCGTTTGACTGTATGTGTACTGTTCAATTTACGCAAAGTATTTCAACGTGAGATTTGTCTTTGTAACTGACGTTTTTAACTATCGTATCTTTTACTATTCCACGAAGGCGATCTGTGATAGAATTTTCTGATAAGATTAATCAATGAATTTCAGTTCTCATGTACATATATTATTATTATTAAATCAAACAAACATGCGGATTTCTTTAATTTAATAATTTTTCTCTTAATTTTCCACTGAAAATGAAATAAAAGAGGAATAAAATATTCTTTCCCAAATAAAATTGTGTTTTTCAGAAATTTATTAAAAGGACGCGCCATATTTTTTTTAAATAATAATAATTTTAAATAGTCAATCTTCAATGAATCTCAGTCGACATTTTTTATAATTGCTCGATGTAGATACTTCTGTAATTATTTACATAAGTTATTTGGTAAGTTATTTTTTAAATGACTAATTTCCAACTCCCAACTCAAAATTTAAAAATCCATTTCACTAAAGCAAAT